AAGCAAAACATATAAAGGATTTGTTTTGTATATTTTGACAAAAGAGTGTAATTTCTATTTAATCCCTTCTGTTTACATTTTTATTGAATATATTGGGTATATGTCTGACAATCTCAGCAAATAATATGCAATATTACGACTAATAATATATAAGTTTCATAACATAGAGAAATTATGATAATTTATATATAAATAGAATTTATTTCTATGAATAGTCTGAATATATAATTCAAATAAATTTAAATAATTATATCAAAACCAAAGGCATATCAAAGATGTTTACGCTTTTGTTTTTAATGTCAAAGAATGAGTTCATAACGTATTTCAAGTTTAATGTAAATACATATAAATAAATTGCTTTCTAAAACATAGTGGTCGTGTGTGTATTCAATATTAAATAAAGTCATAAAATGCATTCAAAAATATTTTTAATTTTATATTTAATTTGTGGTCATAAGTTTGGTTTTATATTCAATTTTGGAGACATTATTTTTAATTGTGTGAATGAAAATATATTTTGCAATCATAAAAATAAACTTTCGCCCATTGAATTACTTTATTGTTTTAAATTAATTTCACCAGAACAAATACTTGCAAATAATTTAAGGGTTTGACAAATAGTAATAATTTACGGTTTTGTGTCACAATTTCATTACAAATCATAAATTTATTGTTTTAAGACTTTTCAATGCATTAAAGGATTAACTTATAAAACTAGAAATATATAGTTTTCTACAATTTAACAATAATTTTTCACTAAATAAGACATTTATTGCATTTTATCAAATTAAGTTTTTATAGAAGTTACTTGCTTAAAATTTTAAGAAAAAATTAATTTGTGTTGACTTTTAAAATTTATGTGAGTTTAAAAGTTTTATTTTTTTACATTTAATATTACAGAAAAAGTTAATATTTGTTTGTATAAAAAACAAGAAATTAATTTAAGACAAACAAAGTGTCCATTTATTGATTTTTATTAGCACTCGTTGGCAGACAAAAGCAAACTTTCTTATGATTGTCTTAAAAGTGAGACCTTAACAAAGAAATAGTAGATTTCGCTCCTAATCTCCACTATTTTTGCAATTCCTGGCGTATATGAGTCCCTTCGGGTCATCTCTTGTTTATTATTTTTGTCCAAAAAATAACATTTGTATGGATTGTATAAATGAAAGACTTATATACGACTCACTCCTCACTCCGTCGCCGTCTCTCAACTGATTTGCAGAGCGAGTGAACACCAAATGAGTAGATCTGTAAGGCATTGAGAATCGCATCCATAATGTGTTCAGTTAAACAAAATAATAGTTAAATCCAAACACGTTTCATATTTGCTTAACAAATAAAAGCCGAGAAAAAATGTCTGAAAATCCCAACTCAAGAGTTTATTCATCTCTGCTCTGAGGAAATGGCTTTCATTTATACAATCCATACAAATGTTATTTTTTGGACAAAAATAATAAACAAGAGATGACCCGAAGGGACTCATATACGCCAGGAATTGCAAAAATAGTGGAGANCATACAAATGTTATTTTTTGGACAAAAATAATAAACAAGAGAGAGAGAGAGAGAGAGAGAGAGAGAGACTCAATAATTTAAATGAGATTTTCACACAATAAGCATAAGTATATAAAAATATAATCATAATATTTTTGAAAGTCTTTGTGAGACTTAAGAGAAAAACTTTTATATTAACTTAAATATTAAAAAATACTATATTTGCATACTTTAAGACACTAAAATTTCATAGACCATATTTTGACTGTTTATTTGAAACGTATTTTTATTTTTCTATTTTTAATAATAAAAGTTTCCTAATATTAATGAATGTTATATCAAAAATAAATAATAATTTTTCACTTCATTTTCACTGTTATTATTTTAAGATGTACACCATTTCAATGTATCATTTTGTTTTTTATCTTAACTTTTGAATAATGTTTCTACATTGGACTATATGCATGAATATTGTTTTTCTCGTATAGTATTTAACATAAATTTTCAAATAATAACCTTTTTCATCATTACATTTCCACATATTGTATACACATTTTAAAATAGCAAAATCAATATTCAAATAAAATAGAAAATAGATTTCTTTTTGATATAGTTTTCTCGTTTACACACAAAAGTCTCGGTAATAATAGCGTCACATTGTGTTCAAAAGCAACAAATTCTTGAGGTTTCGCAACGAAAATAACGGAAAAAATAAATAAAAAGCGAGAAAATAAGGATAGAATTAGGATATTATGCTTGAGTTTCGCTTCAGTTTTTTGCCCAACAAATACGAAAGTAATATAATTTTCTTTACTCAACGAATGGCACACAAACTCGTTGTGTATATTTATCGGCGAATTTTGGCCACTATTTTGCAGTTAAGCTCTTATTCTAATCATTTATTATGTTATTTATCTCAACCTTTTTTCCCTGGCTTTTCGTGCGTTGAAATTGAATTGTTTTGCAACAAAGAGTCCTTTCGGGGGTTGCCTTTGATTGCCATTTCTATTGCATTTCACTCGAAATTATCAAAAACTTTGTTAATTAATGATACTTTTCTAGTGTATCATCCATACGGGTCCGGCATTTGTCTTACATTTGTCTCATTTATCGTCGCTTCCCTTTTGTTCACATATATATGTAACTAATGGTTAATCATCACAATAATTCATATATTAATAGTTCGCTTGTTATTTGATAATAATATTGTGTTGTATTTATTTTTATAAATCATTTGTTTGCTTTTGATTTATTGTCTATAATAGTATTGTAAAATGTGTGTTTTAATTCAAATGCAAAGCAAATAGAAACCCCCAGTTAGGTTTAATTGTAACTAATATTATAACAATAATATAATTTTCAATCTTTATAAATATACCGATAATATGATAATAATAATCATATCTAGTTTTAAATTTTCGTTTAAATAATAAAGTATTTATTATTAATAGTTTTAATGAACTGTAATTATCAAAAACTAAATTTAAATTTTGTAATCTTCTACAGATAAAGCAATATTTTTAATAATAAACTAGATTTAGTTATTTGTTTAATTTTTAATATTATATAAGATTATAATATGTTTATAATTTTATTTATATTATCTTTTCAGCACAACTATAATCGGATTCTGTTTGTGAACTCAATTTGAAGTTTGGGGCAAATATTTGAGTTCTTTAGCTATTAATTTAATAAAGAGTATAAAACTCGAAAAGTTTTGAATATATTTAAAATGCAAATCATATCTGAGCTATGGATCAATAAAAATAAAGGGTAAGCATTTTGACAAAATATGATGTTACTAATAATTGAGTTAGCCAGGTTATAAATACATCTGAAATTGCGAAAATACTCTGTATATTAACGATATTTGAAAACTATTTATAATTTATAAGCTATTAATTTAAGTCAAACTAAATGGATTCTTATTTAAGTTACAATTGTATACTTGCTGGATGAGAGAGAGAGAGAGAGAGAGAGAGAGAGAGAGAGAGAGAGAGTCACAAACATAGTCTATAGATCTTACAGTTTAAACATTTCTTGAGAAACACATTATAAGTAATAACTAAGAATTTCTTAATATAAAAATTTTAATAAAAAAATATTTTTACACTTTTATATTATTAAGTCTTGAGTCTTATTTCATTATTAATACCGAAAGGCGTCTGAATGTGAAGTCCAATCAATTGAATCGGATTTTAAAAAATAAGAAATTGAGAGCATGTTTGACACACAACACAATATTTGTCAATTTATTTACAACCGAATTATTGTTTTCGCGAGTAATTTGTCTCAAAACTGTACTCTCAAATGTAATCAATGATTAAGTTATAAAGACAATAAAATTAATGAATTAAAATTCATTGCCAAACCGTTTGACAGGTTTCGAGTGAAACCGTGAGAGTCAGCGAATAAAGTTAATAAAATAAAGACAAAACTCATCGCAAAAAATTTTGTTGTCGTAAAATATAATTTGATCAAATTCAGTCAGAAGTGAAAATTCTTGCGAAAAAATCGTAAACTTCAAAACACATACACAACAAACATTTAACGTAGAGTTTAGAGTGCAGTGTATGTGAGCAGCACTTCATTTATAGTGTGGACATACCCTGTATACCAGTGCCTCCTTATATATACCGTATATCTGTATTCTAGGCCAGAGTTTTGTCGTTAGATATTATGTTAGACTTCCTCATCACTGGTCTGTTTTTATTTGTATGCCTTCACTCGACGACTATATATATATTGAATTTATAGGCTTCTCATCTCTGAATGTCTCTCTTCCGCAATGACGACAATATACTGTAATTTATTCGTTGCCTTTCTTTTTGCCTTTATTCTCAACAAATGTTAGCCAAACTCATAAACTTTAAAAAGATCTGTTGCTTAAGAAGTCGTCAGATATTGTTTTGGATAAAGAAATCTACTTTTAATAACAAATTTTTCGATGAAAACCTGTCATTCATTTCGTTTCAGAACTATAATAAAAAAGCCAATTGTTTGAGATTTACTGAAATTACTTATATACCAGTAAATATAAAATTATGTTTTATTTGTTTGATTTATTATTTCCATTAATAATTAGCAATTAAATTAAAAATTTGTTACATGCCATTAAATAATACTAAATATAAACCTTTAATTATGAATTGCAACTGAAATTAATAAAAGAAAAGCAATATTTTAGTCAAACATTGTGTTGGAGATAATTAAATACAATCCGAGCTTTAATTCCTTGACAAACAAAATTGAGTTTTTGTTGTTTTAATACAAATACTGGTTTGCGTTGTATTTATTATACATTTAAGTATAGAAATACTCTTATTATCGTAGCTGAAGATGAGTACCGGTGCTCTTCAATAGCTGTATTACTGATTCTTTGCTCATTTGATTACAATTCTGTGCAGATCTGAAACACTGGAGCCGCTGGAACTGTAGTGAAGAAGTGTCAGCCCTTATCATTGAATTCGTTTCATTGCTTTGAGACACAAAATATCCGCACAAATGGATGACTCGCTCTTATATGAGAATCCAATTCTTCACAACACATACAATGCCAGTCGACCACTGAAGGACTGGTTGGTGAACAACACCACTCTTTACGGCAAAAGAGTACCTGAACTGCAATATTATGGGGACAGGAGTTGGGAAATGAGTGATTTGACGAACGGTAGTGAATATGTCATCAATATGTTGGCCAACGATAGCAATGCCTACAACTCGACGCTGAGATCCATTCTGGAGGCGACGACAGCCTTCAACGCCAGCACTGAGGAGCCTCTGGAGTGGTGGCGCTCGTGGGATAGGACTCCCTATCCCAGCGGTTACTCCCAGTTATCAATAGTTGTTTTGGCGTTTTTCATCACATGTATTATGATTTTAATAGTCGTCGGAAATATGTTAGTTTGTATAGCAATTGCCACCGAAAAGTCACTAAAACCCGTTCAAAACTGGTTCATCGCATCCCTGGCCGTCTCGGACTTCCTTTTGGGTCTCGTCATAATGCCCTTCTCATTGGCCAGGGAGTTGATGGGCTACTGGATGTTTGGCAGGGTTTGGTGCGGTCAGTGAAACACAAATTACTTTGATATTTGATGTATTATTAGTCTAACCCATACTGACAGTGTTGTTGTTATGTATGATTTGTGTGGACAGACATTTGGTTGGCGTTGGATGTGCTGCTGTGCACGGCTTCCATAAATAACTTATTTATGATAAGTCTGGACAGGTATTGGTCGATAACACAAGCCGTTAAATATTTAAAAAAGCGGACGCCTTCTCGGGCGGCACTTATGATCGCATTCGTGTGGATACTGTCGGCCGTTGTCTCTCTGCCACCTCTGGTCGGGTGGAAGAAACCAGAAATGCTTGTCTCACATGAGTTCCCGCAATGCAATGTCAGTGAAGACGTCGGTTACGTCCTGTGAGTTGCCATCACTTACTTGGCTGTCATGTGTCTCACTGTATCCCTCGCTGTATCGATGGCCAGGTATTCGTCGATCGGATCGTTTTACTTCCCGGCCTTTATGATGGTCTTTGTCTACGCGCGCATCTTCGTGGCCGCCCGTTCCCGCGCCCGACGCCATATCCAACAGAAGCGCCTTCAGATCCAGGCGGAGGTGACGGCCGACCCGGCGAAGGAGAAATCCACGACAACCACTACCTGTACGAGTCTAAGCAATCCCAGTCCACCCGATCTAACCGATCCAAATAATGAAGGTGGAGATGATGGAGTTGCTGGTTATAAACCATATACACCAGAATCTTCACCCATACCTCTCTCTTTGCAAACAGGGTCTCAGCCGCTGTCTCAGCCACAGATCGGAGCGCTGGTGCACCGGACGGGTGCCGTCGCCTCTCCCACGGCTTGTTCTCCGCCACAGATTGTGGTCGAAGCCATCGCCGAATCGCACTCATCGCCCACTAAAGACATTGCAATCATTTCCAATAACTACGAGTCGACGCCCACACCCGTGGATGTGGTGGTGGACAACGAGTGTGAAGTGAGGTTCAAGTGCTTAAAACAGACCAAATGTTCGCCGGATGTGCACCCGAAGCGAACGCCACCCAAACTGACTATAGTATTGCCCGACAGTAATGGTCCGCCAAAAGCATCCATACCTCAGACCAAACAAAACGGTTCGGCCGTTAAGACCACTGAAACGCGGTTCATATCCACTGACGAGGACTCGGATGCCATTGAGTCCCCTCTGAGTCGCGACACTATAACCCACGAATCAAAAACCTTTTTAAGTGCTCCCAAACTGTTGAGATCCAGTAATTATGGGTCGACACTGAGTATCGCAGACTATGACGACTCAGACATGTGTTTGGATAATGACATCGAGAATAGTGACGATAATGTGAAGCCCAAGAAGGGGGCGAAGGGAGGCAAAGGAGTGCAGTACCGGAACCCTCCGGTCACTGGTATGAGGAGTACGACGTCCGACGCCGAGCGCCACAAACGCAAGATAGCAAAGGCCAGGGAGAGAAGGGCTACACTAATACTCGGCCTAATTATGGCCGCATTCATCACCGCTTGGCTGCCTTTCTTCGTACTCTATCTCTTGGCAGCGCTCTGTCAACAATGCAAAGACGCCATCCCTTCCGGTTATTTCGCTGTAGCCTTTTGGCTCGGATACTGCAATTCAGGTCAGTTCAGCTTCTCATCATCTACCAGTCCCTTACCATTCCCAGCGCTTATTGTTATTAATTATTCTCATAATTAAAGCACAACTTCTCTCTCAATCTTTTTTCATTTCGATGACAACTTTTTTGTCGTATAAAACATGTATTAATTCTGAATTATATCATCAAAACTAATAACAAATGTTATTTTTAATTAAACATTAATATCGTTGCGAGATTTGTTTTAATTTATTTTTCATTACTTTCTTTTTGATTGTACATATGCTGACAATTTACAATTTGCTGTACTAGTACTCAATTATAAGATTTTTCATAACAAATATTTATAAAATTTAATTACATTTTGCTTTAATGGCTAAAGAGACTACTCGTTGAGTAGAGAAAAATGTTTTATTACTTGTTTTGTTTCCATTTGTTTTTATGCGCTTAAGTTTTTCTGCACTTATCTCTCATTTCAATAGTAACTTTGAATTCCCTATAATTAAAAGTTTGTTAACCAAAAAAGGTTTGCCATTCATTTGTGTTGTAGCCATAATTAAAGCTGCTATGGTATGGCATTTGGCATCACAAATGCCACTATTAATAGTTCGCTAACAAATAGCATATCCAGAGCTCAGGTAACAAATAATTTAATAGTCAATAAACCAATATATCTGTTGTGCAGTTGTCCTAAGCGCTAGAATGTCATCAAATAATAAACGAAATATTTATTTAGTAAAAAGACATGAAATGCCAGACAAAAGGCGAACACAAAAAGCTTTTATGATTCTTGTATTTTAATATAATTACAGTTTTTCTCGCATTTTCATAAAGTTATGCATTAAATGTTTGTTAAAAGAGAGTATTTTGTTAAATATTTCATGAAAACAATAATAACTGTTAAAATTAGAGAATTGAAGAATATTCTGGTCTATACTAAGCAAAATGTTAAGCAATAATTGAATTATTATAAAATATATATATTTTTGTAAATATTTTGCTAAATTATTGATTTTTAAATACAACAGACTTACTGGAAAGCCATGCATTAAAACATAAATCTATTAATAATGCATCGAAACTTTTCTCTGTAAAATTACACCACTTTTTAAGACTCGCATTTTGTATTAAAATTAATTCAAAAATCACGGATTCAATATGATTTTGATATAAATATTTTTAAATAATTTATGCGCTTAAGCATAAAAAATTGATAAATTATATTCAAACTCTACATTATATTTAGGAAAGTTATATATTTAGTTAAAAGATTGATCCGTGACTTAATCAAAAGCATCACATAATTAACTGATTCCTTCACTCGTTAATAATGAAGTGTTGGCTATATTTATGTATCAAAATCGTTGATCACTTGTGTGTCGACTCCTCTCATATTCACTCTTTTGTTCAAATCTCTTATGAGTTAATCATTCAGAAAAGTTTCCACAAAAACTTGATTTAAATATTAAAATGATACCAAACATTAGTTTTTGTCACTTGCGAGCCGACTATCTTTTTTCACTAGACCTACACTTTTTCATACATAATATATTACATTATATTATTGACTTTTAGACAAAATATTATTAACTCGTTCAACTAATTTAATTCATTTCAAATTCCTGTTTTTATTATGGATTTTTACTTTTTTCATTTGTATTCATTTTTATCTGTCGCATTCATATTATTTAATAATTGATACTGTTATTTATGCGAATAAATTCATTATTAATTTATTAGTTTATCACTTCTATTATAAACACAGTGTGAATGTGCAATCATTATTGTGTATAAAAATAGGGACGGTGTGTATTTATAGTACTGTATTATCGTATGGCGCTATAGTATTTTGCAATTTATTATATTTTATGATTCAAATCAATCTTCAAAATAATTTTCATTTTTCTTTTGACTCTATTTTGACATTTTATTTATTAAGGAAAAAGAAAAATTACTCCGAATTCCAAATGGAGTCATTCAAATTGAGTTCACAAACAGAATCCGATTATAGTTGTGCTGAAAAGATAATATAAATAAAATTATAAACATATTATAATCTTATATAATATTAAAAATTAAACAAATAACTAAATCTAGTTTATTATTAAAAATATTGCTTTATCTGTAGAAGATTAGAAAATTTTGTTTTTGATAATTACAGTTCATTAAAACTATTAATAATAAATACTTTATTATTTAAACGAAAATTTAAAACTAGATATGATTATTATTATCATATTATCAGTATATTTATAAAGATTGAAAATTATATTATTGTTATAATATTGGTTAAAATTAAACCTAACTGGTGGTTTCTATTTGCTTTGCATTTGAATTTAAACACACATTTTACAATACTAATATAGACAATAAATCAAAAGCAAACAAATGACATAAAAATAAATACAACACAATATTATTATCAAATAACAAGCGAACTATTAATATATGAATTATTGTGATGATTAACCATTAGTTACATATATATGTGAACAAAAGGGAAGCGACGATAAATGAGAC